CCACCTGTTCCCATTTATCTCCCTCCCCATAATCCCCCCTCTTCTCCGTGCAGCCCGAAACCCCTCTCACCCTGTTTCCCTAACTCCTCTATCCCCTAAAATGCTCCTCTCTTGCCAGCAAGCATTTGCACGCCGATATTTTAAAACAAAAATAATTTGATGACATTACACCCCCCTCCAAAATAAAAGCCTGATAGTAACAGATTTTAGCAACGTGCCAGCCAAGCTTTCCCAGGTTTTCAGCAAAGGGGGGCCGTGAACTGTCACTAGCTGGGGGAGTTCAGGAACAAACACTTACTGTGCATCTCTTCAGTCTATCTAGCTGCTTTGACCATATTCTATCTGCAAATCCTTTGGGGTTCGCTTTACATACGTGCTCAGTGTAACTTGTGGAGTGCTTGACCTTTACTCAAGAGCCTACGTGGATGGCCAAACTCTTTTGCTGATAATGTTCTGAATCTTGCTTCCCCCAAAGGGCTAGTGGATGCCATGCATTCTCTGGGGTCACCCTCAAGTGAGTGAGACCCTTGTGCCAGGATCAGACCCGTGGTCTGATCTCTAGATGTGGGCAAAAAACATTTCTAGAACGAACCTTTAGAAAAGCTGATTATTGGACGGGAAACAACATCTCGTGAACCCCTTGGTCAAATGACCCCAAGTTTGGATCACTACAGGTATCTTGCACCCCCATAAGGTTCACCAGTTTATAGTGGTGCACCTCAGGCGATGGCAGGGTAGGGTTAGTGACCTAAACTTGACATCCGTTGAGCCAGACGTTCTGGAGATAGAAGCCCTAAAAACAGCCATTTTTAAAAAAAAGTTTCTAGGTGGTGGGTGTTAAAAAAACCCCAAAATTTAGAGCTAGAACTCTAGATCTAGAATTCATAGGTAGATACTAAGGACTGGAAGATGAATCATAGACCACTGGATGGCTGTGAACTCACCCTTCAATTAACACTACTAAAGATAAGTTAATTACAACACCCACCTAAGACAAAAGGAATTTTGAAATGAGTGGCTGGAGTTTGCTACAATGTGAGAGTCATAGGAGGTAATTTCATTTTGGGAGAAATGCAATCAAAGCATTTGGGTGGAAAATTGGATGTATAAACTTTCTTGGAATGAGGGTTGCCAAACCTCCAGGATTGTCCTGGAGTTTCCCGGAATTAAAGTATCAGAGGAGTAGCCGTGTTAGTCTGTATCCACAAAGCCACCAGACTCCTCGTTGTTTTTCAGGAATTAAAGATTAATCTTTAAAGATTGTGTCATGTGACGAAACCTCCAGGAATAGGTTCAACCAGAATTGGCAACCCTGCTGGGAGGGTGGATTGGGGTAACTAGGAATAGGTGGTAGGGGAGATAAGCGGTTCAGGTGATGGAGGCATGTGACCCCCCAGCTCTGCCAGTGCACCCCTCAGCCGTGCACTGCAACCCATGTGCCCCCTTTGCCAATAAACTCAAGACATCCTGCACCTCAACCTTCCTGCACCCCAACCCCCAGCTTGGTCTTGGCATCCTAACCTCCTGCATCCCACAGATGTCTTTGCTCGCCAACCCCTCATGCA